TTCTTACTTTCTATAATATATTTTACGTGTCAGAAATGTCTCTTAAACAATATCACATCTCTGCTTCTTAAAGATTAAAATATCAATTTTATAAATAAAGGATCAATTATAAACATATTTGATCCTTTTCTATAAGAATACTCTTAAATGAGAATATATCATTATCAAAATTTTGTTTTTTGTGTATGCACTTAGTTAAAAATTTGATTCATAAAAAATGCTAGTCTTGAAATGGTAAGTGATAATACCAATTTTATATTTTCACTAATTGTTTGTTACATCATAATAATTTTTATCATAAAATTATATTTTATATAATTGTTTTCCTTTAAAAATTTTATTTCGGACAATACTACATTTATCTTTCACAAATTTGATTTTATAACATAATTAATTTTATCACATCATAACAAATAAATAGATGAATTGCTTTTTAAAAATAAAAAATATAAATACTCAACAAATGTCACGAAGTAATGAATTCTTTATTTGTACTAAATCATTTAATGTAAAATTTTTCCAAAATTTGAAATCATTATTAAATTTCTATTTTAAAATAAAAAGAAAGGTCAATTCATCATTAATAAAATTTGCCACATAAGCAACCAATAAAGACTTGCCATCTCATCTTAATATAGCCCACATAAGCTTGTCTTTTGGCGACTTTCTAGCAAACGGAGTCTCAAATATTATATTAAAGGATTATATTTTTTATAACTAAAAAGAAATTTTTATACAATCCTTTTTTAATTATGAAACATTATAAAAGCTTAAGTGAGATTGTAACAAAAAGCACCATAGCTTGGATGGTTAGGAACTCAACTAAATGACCAAGAGATCCTTGTTTCAAACCACATGTCGCGCTTTAGCTCTGTCAAATGTCACGTTCTTATAGTTCCGACTCTGCTTTATATATATAAAGGATTGATACAAATACGAATTACATGTCAAGAAAATATAATTTTTTAAATATGTTTCTGAAAAAATTGGGCAAATTATTTAAACAAAGAAAATCACCTCTTAGTTTATAAAATTTTAATGTTGTTCTTAATATATAAAATTTTTTGGATTCTCACCATTCAAATAAATTAAATTGATTATAATTTCATATAAATACTCCGTATTATAATATTTATACATTTAGTTAGGTGTCAAACCCCCAACTAGTTTTTGCAAGTAAAGTAATTTTTTTAGGTTCATGTTCATTGCCCCCAACAAAAAGGATTATGCTATGTGTACCCCAAAGTTTGTACCCCAATTTGTACCCCGCAGTTTTGCACCAACACTTTGTGTTGGTGTAAAACTAATTTTTGTTAAACGCACCAACATTTGTGTCCGTGTGAATATTTATTAACGCACCAACACTTGTGTCGGTGTAAACCATCGAAATGTTTGTGCAAACCTGTGGTGTACAAATGGGGTATATTTTTTGGTGTAAGTGTAGCATCGTCCCAACAAAAATTGTGGAGACTTCATTCCGATTCATAATTTCTCTTATCATATATCTTAGCATATAAAAAAATACTCCCTCCGTCCCAAAAAGATTTACACGTTTCAAAAAAATTGCGTCCCACAATTCCTTACCCATTTCTATTAAAAAATCACTTTTGCCTCTTACTTTTTCAAACCCTACCTATCACATCATACATTTTTCCTAATAATCTACACATCACATCCTACTTTTACCCATCACATCAAGGGTATTTTTGGAAAGTCAACACAAAATTATCCCTTCCTTAATTTCAACTTTACTCAAAATGGGTAACACTTTATGGGACGGAGGGAGTATAATACTCCAATTGGAAAATAAAATATTGGAGTAAAGAATAGCTTATGTTTGCAAGAAATAGGGAGACTATTAGCACATAAGTTCTTTCACTCATTCCGTCTCAAAATAATTTTACCTCATTACTATTATGCTCTCACTCCGTCCCAGTATTTATTTGTGTGTTTACATTGATCATTTGATAAAACTAAATATTCTTGTCACCTCTTTTTTTGTAAAATTGTTGATGTAGTTTTTTAATAATATAAGTTTACTTTTTATTTTTCTACCAATTGGTAAATAATTCATTTTCAATGTCACGACAATTTTCACCTCGTTCGAACTGTGAACTTCTTTTTGGGATGAAGGGAGTATATATGTATATGTATGTGTGTGTCATGGGTGGCCCAGAGGGTGTGCAAAGTGGTCAACCGCACATGGCACCTAAAATTTTAGGACCCCATATTTTTAAATTTGTTAATAATTTTAAAGCAAAAGTATTCCAAGAAAATAAAATAGGGCCCAAAATGTAAATTTCGGATCGAGCCAAATTTATTTTTTCATTTTTCGGGGGCGGTCTTGGTGTGTGTGTGTGTGTATATATATATATACATATACATACACTCACACACACACACACATACTCTCTCCATCGATCCCAAATTAGGTTACGATTTTTTTCTCTTATCTCGATAACTTTTATTTATTTATGTTTTTTATTAAGTATTTGATAAAATAAAAATTCTTGTCGCATCTCGCTTCGTAGCGTTTTGGACATAGTTTTTTAATACGGAGTATATAATTTTTATTTTTTATTGATATATCAATTTATAAATAAAATGATTTCAGAAAACGAAAGATTTTATGTCGTAACTCATAATTTGTAATCAAATTGGAAGAGATGGAGTATAATTTTTTTAATTATGCTTAAACTTTTAGTTCAATCACTGATTCGATAAAGAAATGAGTAAACTAGTATCTTGACCCGTTCCATAATCGAAGGCAAAATTGAAAGAGTACTTTTTGAATGAAGATAATGGACGCAAGACTGCAAGAGTAAGTAGTAAAGCGTACCGCCTCGTGTGCCACCGGGGGGCTCCAATCACTGCATGACACCTAGCTTTGCTATCCCCATTCCATGGATCTCAAGGGCAATAATGTTTACCCACCATTTGGCCAGTTATCAGTCAACTTCATCCATGTTTTTCACTGCCCCCACGCCAAATGCGAAAACAACAGACGACAGACGACACCCAACAAACTTTGGATTACTCACATTTTCAACAATATCTCTTCTTCCCAGCATGTTACCATCTTAACGCATCAACCTTCATACTTAGCCAAATTAAATTTAATAAAAATAGAATTAGAGACATTTATGTTAAGAGTATCCCACATCGGAAAAGTGTGAGAAAGATAATTGGTATATAAGCTCTTGAGATGAACTAACTAATCGATTGGATCCAATCTTTTAATGTGGTTCAACCTAAGTGTCTTATTGCCCAATCCAGTTGTCCATACCCATTCCAAATTCTATCATGGTATCAGAGCTAGTTTTGAATTCTTGAGACCTCAAACACGCTTCTTCCCCTTCTGGTGGGCATATTCAATTCAATGCCTACCGGCTGGACATTGTAATTTTTTATTTTCTTTGATTGTTCTCCCTCACTAAAAAATATCATGAAACCTAGAAATTTCCACGGCTACTGTTCACGATCGCCCGGCATCGCGTCCATCGATCGTTGCTCAGTTTCGTCACCCGCTACTGCTGTCGAGTGCCGAAACGGTTGACCGTTGCTTCAGAACGGTCGAGCACATCGACCGTCCTGTCGGCAATCTCCTGTTGATGGTCTCTTGGATTCGGAACACGATTGATCCAGCCTTGAGATCCAGCATATCATATGTGGAAAAAGCTTCAGATCTATGGAATGATTTGAAGGCCTGCTTCTCTGTGGTTAATGGACCGAGGGTTCAGCAGTTGAAGTGGGATTTGGCGGAATGCCAACAGAAAAATCTCACCATAATGAAATATTATGGGAAGATGAAGAGGTTGTAGGACGATCTTGCAGGTTTGGAGCAGTTCCCAATTAGTACGTGTAGGAATTGCACGTGGGACATGCCGGAGAAGCTTGTGGGACGATCTTGCAGGTTTAGAGCAGTTCCCAATTTGTACGTGTAGGAATTGCACGTGGGACCTGTCAGAGAAGCTTGCGCAGATGCGCGAACCGAGGGAACGTTTTTTTATGTCCAAGCTGTGCATGTTGAACTCTCATGCTCCAGCTTGAGGGGGGGTGTTAGAGATAGAAGGAAGCGGGATTGAAAAAGGAAAGTGTTAGAGACAGAAGAAGGAAGCGAGATTGAAGAAGGAAACTGAATCCCTTTGGGATTAGGTTTAGTATCTTTCCTAGTTGGATTAGGTTTACTATTTAGTATCCTTCCTAATTTGTTTAATTCTTATTTTAGTAGGAATAGAAATTCTTGATAAAGAACAATTCAATACACAAATATTTTCTCCTCATATTCTATTTTATCATGGTATCAGAGCAGGTTTTGGCCCACCTCGTTTGTCATGGTGTCCGTCTAGACGTTCATTCCTAGCGGCCCGTTAGTCTTTAGCCCAGTTGTCCGTATGGAGTATGTACCCAACGGCCTGTGGCCCGTTTAACCCGATTGCACGTCTGGAAGTCCATACCCAGCGGCTCGTGGTCCTTTAGGTGTTGGCGCTCAAAAAAAAATCAAGGGGATGTGAGTCCATTTGCAAGTGGTCAACCGGTTAGATTCAAAATGGCCCGGTTGTCCACTTGAGGTGGAGTGTTAAGAGTATCCCACATCGGAAAAGTGTGAGGAAGATAATTGGTATATAAGCTCTTGAGATGAACTAACTAATCGATTGGATCCAATCTTTTAATGTGGCTCAACCTAAGTGTCTTATTGCCCAATCCAGTTGTCCATACCCATCCCAAATTCTATCAATTTATTACGGAGTACTATTTTTGGAGCATGATAAAAGTGGCACCCTCAGATTGATATTGAACTTGAAAAATAATCCAATGTCACATAATAATATTTCCGATTTCATGCTATGACATTAGGACTCAATATTATTTGAGCTTTGCCTTATAACATTTCTCCTTTTCCAAACAAATTTAATTCAGGCCCATCTTTTTAACACTATTTAAAACTAAAATGTCTGGACTCAGCTGTGGGCAGAAATCACACTCTCATTCAACTAACTCAGCAACCGAGTCTGTATTCTCTAATTCTGTTTTACTAACTTCCACAGGTGATAGATTCATTCCTACAGATCTTGATGAACTTGCCATCTCGAGTTCTTGCAATGGGTAGCAGCCACACTTGGTTTTGGAGAACCGGCATGTGTCTATGGCTATTTTCTAGCTTCTTCAACCTTGGGTTCTCAGAGGCTGTTGAAGGGACAGTGGTGTATGTGAATGGGAAGAATGCCACTGCAAGAACAGACAGTGATTTCATTTGTGCCACCTTAGACTGGTGGCCGCCTGATAAGTGTGATTATGGCACTTGTGCTTGGGACCATGCTTCTCTCCTTAATTTGGTATGTGTTCTTGGTTCTTGAATTTAATCCAATTCCCTTTCTTCTTCTTCTTCTTCTATAGATTTGTTTTTTTAATTTGTGTGTTTGAAATAATTTTTTTTGGGATCTCAGCTGATATGAGCTTGATTTGGTTCTTATGATGATTCTATACTGTTTATGGAGAATCTAATCTTGTTTGCATTTTCTACTTTTGTAATAGTTCTTTTCTTTGAAAGAGTTTCAATAGTATTCCCTCCTTTTCTTGTTAGACTACATGGTTTGACCAGTAAATTATTTAAGAGTAGATAAAGTGGAAATGGAATTTTGCGCCTTTTTCATTGAGGATGGAGAAATTCTGTTGAGAAGATAGGAAAATATTAATTGTGGTGGGTTTATAGAAGATATTAGTTATGAGCAGAAAAAATGAAGTATACACACTGAAACAAAGCATAACACACACTAATATGGAACAATCATAAAATGAAAAAGTGCACAGCAATAAGAAACAGAGGGAGTAATTTGGAGGTTCTATGTAGACCTGGCAATCGGGTGATTTGGGTCGGATACAAGATTCAGTTCGTGTTGATTTTTTTTCTTGTAACTTTCGGTTCGGATGATTTTGGTCGCTTGATTTTTTGGTGCAATAGAATTGTCTTTCGAAGACGAGCAACTTTCACAAAAGCCGTTAGGTTTGGTTTGGGTCATTTTCGGATTGGGTTCCCTTTGGCTCAACTATTTTTCAGTTTCCAGTTTGATTTTGAGTCATTCGGTTCCCAACATTTGAGTCGAAACTCGTGTGACTTTTGCGAGGTCTACTTGTATGGCTTACATTCATGCTAATGTAAAAAGAAGAAAATAGAACATTTGATTGCCTCCTTATGGCTTATACCTTTCCTGGCAACCACTGTTAAACCATCTTATGATAAACTAGCCAGTAGCCAGTTCACTTCTGTTAGTAAAACCTTCCTTTTTTCTTTCTGAACTCCAAAGTGAGTTACATCCTTTGAACTTGGTGCTAATTAGATGTGTTAACTATTGGTTGTGCAGGATCTTAGCAATGTCATACTATTGAATGCCATAAAAGGTATGGGTTTGCATTTGAACTCCAAACACATTTTACTCTTAAAATTCCTCTCCAACACATTATTGTCTCTGCAGCTTTCTCACCTCTAAAGATTAGGCTTGGAGGCACTCTGCAAGACATTGTAGTCTACGACACCGAAAACCATACCCAACCCTGCACTCCATTTGTTAAGAACAACACAGAATTGTTTGCCTTCACTCATGGCTGCCTGCCCTTGTCCAGATGGGATGAACTCAATGCATTTTTCAATAAATCTGGGTAATACTCAGTTGGGGTCTTTTCTTGCTAGACCAATCTGTATTATAATGTGTTTGTGTACAAGTCATAACACTTGATCCTGGTTTTTGTCCGTCACAGTGCTGTTATTATTTTTGGTTTAAATGCTCTCTATGGACGAGTAAAGAGTAACGGAGCTTGGAATTCAACAAATGCTGAATCTTTTATACGATATACGGTCAAGAGGGGGTACACCATCCACGGTTGGGAGCTAGGTTAGTTAAGCTATGGACAACTCTTTAAGCTTTGATTAGTCTCATCTGAGTTTATTAGGTCTGATCTAGTCTGATGATTCTTAGTAAGTAAAATCTACTAAAACCGTTATTGCTTTTTGAAATGACTCAGGCAATGAGTTGAGTGGAAGTGGAGTGGGGGTGAGCATTGATGTGGACCGGTATGCGTATGACACGGTCCATCTTCACGGCCTAGTGCAAATGATATACAAAGACATAGAAGCTAAGCCACTTATTGTGGCACCGGGAGGGTTCTTTGATGCAGAATGGTACAAGGAGTTTCTTGACAAAACACACAATGCATTGAATGTAATGACTCACCACATATACAATCTTGGCCCAGGGGTAGACGAGCACCTTGTAGAGAAAATCCTTGATCCATCTTATCTTGATGGCGAGGCCAACACTTTTCGCCAACTTCGTAGCATACTCAGCAACTCAGGAACTTCAGTGAGGGCTTGGGTTGGTGAGGCTGGAGGGGCTTATAACAGTGGACGCAATGGTGTATCCAATGCTTTCGTTTATAGCTTCTGGTAATCAAGTTGTTATATATATGCACAAGAAAAATTAATTACACGATTACCCTTCGTGTTAAATGTGAATTTCTTTGTACATAGTAACATGCTCTTGAAAAAAATGTAATCTTTAGGTATCTTGACCAGCTTGGGATGTCTGCAAAGTATGACACGAAGACATACTGCCGACAATCGCTGATTGGTGGAAACTATGGCTTGCTCAACACCACAACCTTCATGCCAAATCCAGACTACTACAGGTTTTAAACCATTTAAACTCATTACTTGATCGTTCTCCCAGCTTCACACTAACTGTTTGTTGCAAATGTTCTGCAGCGCGCTTCTTTGGCACCAGTTAATGGGAAGAACAGTTCTGGCAACTAGCTTCTCCGGGACAAGGAAGATGCGGGCTTATGCTCATTGCGCAAAGCAATCTGTAAGTTCAACACCCACAGTTTCAAGAGCCAAGCATGTGAAAACCACTTCCTAAAAGTGATCTTCTTGTTCTTTCTCTTATCAGGAAGGGATCGCCTTGCTTTTGATCAACCTTGATGGAGAAACTCCAGTGGAAGTCAGTGTGGTCTACAACAGAACAACTCCAAATGGCCATGTCAGGCACAGGGGGCATCACCATGGCCATGGGATGAGTTATGAGAGAGAAGATGTGGAGAGAGAAGAGTACCATCTGAGAGCTAAGGATGGGGATTTGCACAGCCAAACTATGGTGTTAAATGGGAACGAATTAGCCGTGAATTCATCAGGGCAGATACCGCCATTGCAGCCTCGTCTTGTGAGCTCATCTCAGCCAATAGCTGTTGCTCCTTATTCCATTGTTTTTGCTCATATACCAAATGTCTCTCTGCCTGCCTGTTCTGCTTAGGAACTATAGGAACAGGTCCCAACTTCAGGTCTTTGAAGTTTCAAGCCACTTTCTTTCTTAAATGTAGAATCATGTTCTTTTTTTTAAAATTTATTTATTTTGTTTTTCTCATTGGTGTTGTGAAGCATTTTAGAGCAATAGTCATGGTACACAATGCTTAAAATGCAAAAGTTGATAAAATGTAAGTTGGGTTACATTCGTTTTCGAAAGTTTTTGATACGAAGTGACGGGCAATAATTCCACCAATTGATCCAGCTTTGTGAGCGGATCGTAAGAACAATGTTATTAATAAAAGAACTCGAGAGCTATATTGTATTGCGCTAGGTTTTGTTTGAGGATGACCGTGGAGCCTTCCCATATTTATACATATTGATTAACATAATTAAGGTAATTACTACTCCCTTTGTTCCTTTAAATCCTTCCACTTTTGACTTTTGGCAAAAATAAGAAAAGTGTAATTTTGGTTGACTTTCTAATTTTACCCCTGATGTGATGGGTAAAAGTAAGATGTGATAGTTTGGTTATTAGTGAAAAAGTATGCTGTGATAGGTAAGGTATGAAAAAATAAGGGTAAAAGTGGTTTTTTAATAGAAAGTGGAAGTGTTTTAGGAAATCCAAAAAAACGAAAGGGGAAGAGTTTTGTAGAACTAGGAGAGTATTAAATATGGAAAATGATTTCCAGGAATTGTGCTATCTAAATATTGCGGCTTCAATTCCGTGACCTAGCTACGAAGCTCTTTCTTGCCACGCGTGCAGCCAACAGCTTCCTCAATCCGGGTCGGCTCGTGCCCAACGCCCTTATCCAAATATCTCCGGGTCCCAAGATACTCCTGTGTATGAGGATTGGGCTTAGTATAGTGGCCCATCAAGAAGTATTGATTCATCTAAGTGAAGAGATCCTTCGATTCGAGCTTCACATATATAATGTATACCATATTACCATCCCTTTCACTTTTTTTTTGTGCCTTTTTTAGTTCAAAAATAAGATTCCATTTTCCTTTTAGAGAAATAATCACTTGATTTAATTTATATCAGCTCTCATAGATAAATTAAATGCATCTTGAGTCCATGAAAAAACTTGCCTTCCAAAAACCTTAGCGACAATTACATATTGAGCCATGGCAACCTACGATTAGATAAGTAGCAGAGCTACAACTTTCATGTTTGAAGTTTCTTAAAATAATGGACATAGGAGGGCGAAAAATACCCTCATGGTCAAGTGAACTTTCTGCCCTAGAAATTAAAATTCAACATTGTCTTCGTTTTTGACAATTCTAACAACCAATTCGAGAGCTCATCATATCCTCCTTCAATCTTGAGTCAATTTTGACTCCTAATATACTACGTATGTGTAAGTATTATGAGCATTACAAGAGCGCTAAAATGAATATAATATTGATTGTGTGACAAGAAAAAAAGGAAAATAAGTTTTTGGGAGGCAAGAGTACAACTTTGTATTCAACATTTCAAGAATTCATACAAGTTCCTAATTTTTTTCCATTTCATATGTACAAAATGAGCAATAATCCTCCACTGATTATATAAAAACTAAAATAAATAACCAAACAAAATGAACACTAAGAAACATTAAGTATTATTTCATGAAATAATAAATCGGACACTCTAATCCGTGGACAACGCTAGCATAAAAATACATACATACAATAAGAATTAACATATTTTTGTTTTGTTTAATGAAGTAAATGAATATATTCAAGTATGAATTGCCAACCACATCATATAATTACCCATACTTGATGAGAAACTATTAACCAATCTGATTATATATATATATATATATGTCTGAATCGAACCATATATTAGAATTTGTTGTCATCATCATCGTCCAATTAGATCACAGTCCAACCTGCTTCGATATTCCAAGAAAATCTGAGCGGCAGCATAGTGAGCCATGGCACCGATGATGACAAACACATGGAAGATCTGGTGACTGTGGCCGGCGAGGTCAAAGAAACCCGGCCTCCACCTCTCCGGCACCCTGCTGATGTAAAAACCGGCCCCGGCGATGTAAAACAAGCCCATGGCTCCCTCGTACGCGAGGGTCACGTCCCTTCTGGGGTCGTCCCAGTTGACCAGCACGGCGTGGACGGCCGGGACGAGGCCGGAGAGTCCCATGGCCATGAACAGGAGAGCGCGGAAGGAGCGGTGCTTGGCGGCGGAGAAGGCCGGGGTGAGGAGGGTGGCGGCGGTGCAGACTCCCATGGCGGTGATTCCGGCGAGGTAGAGGAGCTGCCAGTGGGGGGAGCACCGGAAGACGTAGTAGATGGGGGGGAAGAAGGAGGTGACGATCATGACGCTGATCCCGACGTAGTCCATCTGGAGGAGGAGGAGGGACACGGGCCGGGAGTGGCAGGAGAAGGTGTGGCAAATGGTGCTGCATAAGAGACAGAACATTGAGCCACAGAGGAACACGTAGAATGGCCATGTCGTCGTTGATGAGTACATGTCGTCTAGTAGCCCTCCTGCTTCTGTTAATGGTCCGGACGACGAGGTTATTATGTCCGTTTGTAGGCTTTGCCCTGCCTGGAAAATGCCTTTTGAATTCGTGCTCGCATTATTCGCACCCACGGCGAAATTCCTGTAAATTATTAAAGACCAGAAATAATGACTTACATATCCAAAGTCATTGCCATTTTGCATTGATAATTGGCCAGTTTGGGAATGACGTTAGCGATTAGCGTTAGTGTTTTGAAAAGGCTATTAACGGGCAACGTTTAGCGTTAGCGTTTTTAAAGTAATCTGCACCATTAAAATTTTATCCAAAACGCTAATGCTAATCTCTAACGATATTCCCAAACATACCCAATCTTCTTAATTTCCTTTTTTGGTTTGTCCCAAATTAATCTTCTTCTTTCCTATTTATAAAGATTTTTGTAGCTTATCTTTTCTCTCTCCTATGCATCACTTTCAATCACATAATTTCATTTTTCTTAAATTTTGTGTAAAGTAGAATGGAGGGAGTAATAAGTTATTTAAGTTATTTAATTTGTCTCTCTTTCTTTTTTGACGGTAGTTATTGAATTGTAAAATCAAATTTAAAAAAAATAATCTTGAAAAAATCAAAACCGGAACTGTTTGAGAGAACAAAGTAAGTGCTTAAAAATCAAAAGCATGGTCTTTGATGCTAGCTCATGTGTTTTGAAAACCCCTTCATGAAAAATATTCCGAGGGATCCATTTTCCAAACTACATATCGTAATGGAACTATTTGGCTGCTTATATAGGCATTGTCGTAGATTGATGTGAAATTTAGAATAAATAGTACTAAAACATATGTGATTTTCTAAAGTAGTACTTAAATTTTTTTATTCCCTAAATAATATGTAAATAATGTCTAGTTGTGAAAACAATGTCCAGTGATGGTTGACATTTAATTTAAACAGTGTCTGGTGACGGCGGATATTTACTTAAACAATTACTAATTGTACTACATTAGAAAATAAAAACATATTGTACCACATTGGAAAAGTCATTATATTTTTGTACTATTTAAGAAAATTTATTCAAATTAAAATTAATTACTCCCTCCGTCTGAAAATGTTATTCCCATTTGACTTTTCACGATCTCTAATATTGGACTTTGACCATTAATATATATATTTATACATAGATATATTTTATATAAATTTGATATTTGAAAACTACGTTTCATTATGAATATATTGATATTAAATTTACATCATATTACAATGTATTTTTTCCACAAATCGTAGTCAAAGTATATAAACTTTGACCAAGAAAAATCAAATGTGAAGAACATTTTCGGACGGAGGGAGTAATTAATGTGGCTGGCAAGATTGTTGTTGTCAAAATTTATGCAAACCAGAATGTAGTTGGCAGCTCGATGACCTACTTTGTGTTCACATCATTCAATGTGATTTCCATCACAATTTATTTCCTCTACCTCCCAAATCCTCAATAAAACGTGCATTTTTTACTCCGTATTTGATATTTTTGTCTTTTTCCCAACAAAAAAGTTATGTTAAGTATACACCAAAATTGTACAACTCATTTGTAATATCAATTCTCAGTGTCTATGTGTTCCTCGTGTACAAATGAGGTCGTCTTGGTATACTCCTAAATTTATTGAAAAAAGGGGTTACTTCGCCTCTTGGGTCCCACACGCCCGTGTGTTGGGTTTCTCCAACCTATTGGCATGGGAAGGTGGTGTATGGTTTTTTAACTTCACCAAGATTGATGATATTTTATACGGATATTAAAATTATGATATTGTAAAAAATTCATTCTAATATTCATATTTTATGTGAATATTTTGAAATTACATAAAGATTTTTGGGGGAGTAATTTCAGAGTATAACTTGATCACTCTCAAAAAGCTTGTGGTTGTGGCCCAAGAAATGTTTTTTATATTCTAACACGCCCCCTCACATGCAACCGTAATATTTTTTCGAGCTTCGCACGTGAAACCTTAATTTTTTAAAACTGGGTGGCGCTGAGTTTCGAACCCGTGACTTCTTAGTCAAGAAGGCTCTGATACAATGTCAAGGAACCAATTCAACCAAAAGCTCAAGCTTATGGTTGTGGCCCAGGAATAGATATTTATATACTCTAACACGCCCCTCACGTGCAGGCGTGACCTCTTTGAGCCTTGCACGTGAAACCTTAATTTTTTTTAAACTGGGTGGCAGTGAGTTTCGAACTCGTGACCTCTTGGTCATCAAGGCTTTGATACCATGTCAAGGAAGCAACTCAACCACAAGCTCAAGCTTGTGGTTGTGGCCCAGGAACAGATACTTATATTCTAACAATCAGAGATACTACGAGTATTACAAAATTGGAGGACGGGATCCGTGTATTATGTTAGACAATAATAAGAATAGCAATTATGATACTATTAGTTATAGTAGTCTTGTGTTTTAGTTAATTTTTTTTCCTATTTATAGTAGATGTAATATTTTAGTTCGTCAATTTTCTATTTCTAGTTGTGTTAGATAGGAATCACTCCTATATATATGCTACAATTCACTTCATAATATAATTCAATGAGCAATATTATTATTCTAATATTTTAACATATTATACTTGGTAATAAAAATTTCAATGGAGTAATGGGGGGCTTCATCTTTTTTGTGGACGGGAGGGAGTACATATAGATCCGTTTGTTATATAGAATTGACGGAATTGGAATTGAACTGGATGTTGAAATCTATAAAATTGAATTGGATGAAATTGAATTCTCCCATTTCAATTCATTTTTGGCACTATACCAACCAAATCTACATATTTTTGTCAAACCAAACAGAAAAATTGTGATTGTTGTCCCAATTTCAATTATATAGTTGGAATTCTGTATACCAAACGGAGCCATAAAGTATTTGCGGAGGAATAAAATAGAAAAGTTTGAAAAATAAAAGAATTAAAAAATGAAAACACAAAACAAACGAATGAATGAAGCTAAGTAAAGAATGTAAGCTCATAATTTGCATGAGGACGAACGAACGCATTAATATCTGAACAAGTTAAATATTGCTCGCAATGATAATCACATTTTCCTACCTTCTTTATAACGCTATATATTTCGATTCTTCATGCAGATTTCGTTCCCTATCTACAAAAATATTTCCTCCCTCACTCTATAAAAAAAATTAGTTTTGAAAATCAGTTTATAATGTCAAATAAGTGTTTTAAAAGAGTATTTCGATTCTTCATGCATCATAATACTTTTATCAAATAGAAAAAATTAATAACTATTTCTGAAAAAACTAAAACAAATTGACTATTAAATCCGCTTTTAGAGAGTATAAAATGAATTCCAATATAAGATTTACATAAAAAAATTGATTGAAAATCACAATTATTTTAAATTATTTTTAAAAACAATTATTGTTATATGTCTTCTCGACCAACTGAGTTATGTCCCCAAACCCCAGCAACTAAGTACGGAGTATATGATTTAATTAATTTGAATATTAAATTTCAATAATAAAATATATGAAGGCAATTTATAAAGGCTTACCATATGAACGGCGACATGAAATCTGCCAGCTGAGGCAAACGCACTGAATTCGCTACGGTGAGTACCACAAAAAGAACAAATCCCATCAAGTGTCTGCAAATTATAGAAAAAAACCATCTAATCTCAAATAAATACGATTACACTAGCAAAAAAAAAACAACCCAGTTGAATCCCACTACAGTAGGGTCTAAGGAGGGTGTGTGTACCAGTGTACGCAGAAAAACAATAACAACAACAATCCAGTTGAATCCCACAACAACAACCTAGTTGATTCACACCACTAGGTAAAATTAGTTTCCTAAAGGTACCATATTAGTCTATGTACTATTTAAAAATATTTAAATTGAACTGGTGCGGGATTTAAATTGAATCAATTTAGTCCATTCTTTTTTGTTTTATGAGGTTGTACAGTGTTGTCTGTACATCTGAAGCGAGTACTCAATTTCGAGTAACAGAATACTCATTTTCAAGCAATTGAATGTTCATTTTCGAGTAATTATATTAAATACTTATTTTTCCAAAATTCAGTTATGCTTGAAAATGAGTGTTTAGCTACTAAAAATGAGTATTCTATTACTCAAAAATGAGTATTCGCATTGATGTACAGAGAACACCGTACATCCAGATATATGGTATATGTACTCCTAGCTAATTGAACAAGATTATTAAAATTTTGACTAACAGTACATCAACTAAAAAAAATAGGATTATGCTATGTGTACCCCAAGGTTTGTACCCCAATTTGTACCCCGCAGTTTTGCACCAACACTTTGTGTTGGTGTAAAATTAATTTTTGTTAAACGCACCAATATTTCTGTCCGTGTGAATTTTTATTAACGCACCAACACTTGTGTCGGTGTAAACCATCGAAATGTTTGTGCAAACCTGTGGTGTACAAATGGGGTATATTTTTTGGTGTAAGTGTAGTATGATCCAAAAAAATACCCCGTAGTAGGAGAGGAGAGAAAGGAAGTGAACATAATTACTTACGTCCAAATATTTAGAGTTTCATTATGCCACCGGAAAACGCTAAGAAACGCTTGTTTCAAAGGCCATTCACACCTATAATAATTCCGAATAAACTCATTGTCCCTCATGTACTCCGGCAATTCCTCGAACGACACCAAACCCCGTTTGTTTCTCCCCTTCTCCTTTCCTCCACGGCCGCCGCCGTCCTTGCACGGCGGTCCGCCGCCGCCATCGCCGGAAGACGCCACCAAAGAGTTCCCGATGACCTTATTATTATTATTATTATTATTATTATTATTATTATTATTACCCCCATCGGCCGCCGCCTTAGCGTCGCCGTCATCCATCGCCGTCGTCTTCTTCCTCTTCCTTGTAGCAATAAACCCTTGGGAGGGGGAATGTCCGATCATGTCCCAATTAACCCTCCACCGATCGGAGACCTCCTCGATAGATCGACGTATATATGATTTTGAATAATAATGTATAATTGGATTCTCAAGGATAAAATAAAATTGAAACCAATTGATTATTTAATTTTGTACAGAGAGAGAGAGGGAGGGGAGGAAGATAGTTGTGGTTATGTGGTAATACCGATCGAGTTTCAACTAGTGTTAAGTGTTGGTTTATATAGATCTCATATATACTCCCTCCGTCTAAAAAAAGAATCCAATAATCATTTTTTTCGATTTCTCGTTAACGTCTTTTGTCAAATTATTCATTTTGGTCTATCATTTGATAAAATAAATTAATCTTGTCAAATTTTATTTTGTACTCCGTATAATTTTCGATGTATTTTTGAAAGGTGTAATTTTTTACTTCTTATTTTTCTATTAATTTGTAAAATAAAATAATTTTAAAAGAGATAAAATTTTACACGTCTTTTGAAATGTGACAATTCAAGCAATATGAGAAGGAGTCAGTGTATCTTTTTTTCAAAATTATTTATGTCCCATTTTGCCCTTCATTTATTAAGGGCGGCTCCCTACTAGATGGGAGACGCAGCCTAGGGGATGGGGTTCATTTTTGTATGGTTTCTTTCATTTTTTTTTTTTGTGTGATTTCAAAAAATAGAACTTTGTCTTATTTCATTTAAGGAGAAGAGTATGCAATGGGGTTCAAATTAATTATTCATCACAAAAAACCAAAACCCAAAATTTTAATACTCGTAGAAATGAGAATATTGAGATGTATATGTAGCTATTTTGGGATAGACAAAAATATGTGAAGTTAATTGCGTGAAGNAGTGGTTCGTTGCAGCAAGCTAGCTAGGGAGTAGTAATTAAGAAGCCGGGCAGGGCAGGGCGAGCATTTATAGTTATTAGTTAAACACGCCTTTAGAGGTTGTTGACTTCTTCGGAGGTGCATTTTTAGTAGTTAGGTGATCGGTGACGTCTTTCTCCCTACCATATATATCACGCTGCCTTCATGACCTCTCTTTTACCACTAATTAATTACTTATTTTTGCGTTTCCCTTCATATATTCATTATATTTGGACATCTACAAATCCTTTCCGCTGGACTCATTTTCATGTTTAATCACAAGTTTATATCACTAGTTTCAATTCGCCCCTCATTACAAAAACAAATACTCCCTCCGTCCCAAAAAGAATGGACGGATTGACTTTTTGGGAAATTAAGAGAGTGATTTTGGTATTGACTTTCTAAAAATACCCTTGATGTGATAGATACAAGTAAGATGTGATGAGTAGATTATTAGAAAAAAGGTATGATGTGATAGGTAGGGTATGAAAAAGTAAGGGGTAAAAGTGGTTTTTTAATAGAAACATAACGGACTTTACGTGACGCAGTTTTTTCTAAACGTAACAAACTTTTTGGGACGGAGGGAGTACTAGAAACACGTAGGCTTCCTTAGCTTTGGTACAGTACACAAAACTGATCAAGCTAAATTAAAGATTTCAATTTTGATTCTGATTGTTTGATAGTACAAAACAAATAAATGTGGATTTGGATTTAAATTTGTTATGGATCAAGATAGAGGGCCCAGCTCGGGAGAGGGAGAGGTGTGCTAATAGAGTTTAGATATGAGATAGTGATAATTGGAATGAGTCACAAGACAATTGGGTCGAACCATATTAACAGATTGAATCAAATCGATTACTTAGTTCAACTTAAGAATTTTTAAACCCGTTATTTTTTACCAGGGGCGGCCTTTGGCCTGTGCAGGGTTTTCAACCGCACGGGGCCCAAAAAAACCAAGGCCCAAATTCTTTTTAAAGATAGTAGTATGTAATAAGAGGCCCAAAATGGCAAAAAAAAAATATGGAGCAACTCTTCACACTTTTTAGCCCAATTAGCCGCATTGCCGCAAAATAGAACCGGAAGAAGTGAAGAAAGAAGGCGGAAGGTCGAAGACAGAAGAAGAAGAAGATTTGCGTCGTCGCGCAGTCGCCTCACGTCTACGCCCTCCAGCACTTCTGCATTCACTAATTTCACTTCAGTCTTCAGGTATTAACATATGATTTATTATAATTTATTGATTCTAATGATCAAATCCCTAATTTAATTTTTTTATTTTTTATTTTAAAATGTGCGATCTATGTTTCTTCTTCTGTAGTTGAATAGTTTTATGAAATTTAATTTTTAATTACAATGATTAATGAATAATAATTTGATAAAAACAGTTTTTTTTTTTAAATTTTTCTTCTTTCAAAAGTTTCTTTTGCTAATTGTTTCAAAATCTTCAAATGCTTTAGCACTTTTGCTATTTTTTTTGCTAATTTTTTGCTAATTGTTTCAAAATTAGCAAATCTTCTTTTGCTATTTTTTTTATATCCATTGAATATGAGAGTTTGGAACAAGTGCAAATGGAGAGCATGATTGAAGATTTTTCATCAAAATGTGCAAAGAGAACGTCTTTTTATGTAAACTGGTAGTGATGTTTTCTTCCTCATTATAACAAATTCAATAATTAGTACTCCCTGCGTACTTGGCACGCTTATTAAGAAATAGTAAAAAAATACAAAAGTTTCAAAAATGCACGTACTATAAATTTTTAAATCTTTATTTATTATTAAAAAAGTACTAAAAAGTAGATTTGTGATAAAATAGAAGGGTATTATTGATATTTAGCCTTAAAAAGTATACTAAAAAAGGAAATGTGAAGAATATTTCCGGACGGACCAAAAAGGAAAATGGGAAGAATATATCCGGACGGAGGGAGTATGAAACTTCTTTAAATTTTACTTTTATCAGATATTATAGTCAATAGTGGCCAATTTTTTTGTTTTTGTACTGGGCCTATTTTTTTTGGGCCGGCCCTATTTTTTACTCTAGAAGAGGAGGGCGTGCACCGACCCGTGTATTATGTGGCCCGAGTGTTACGAAGAGCTTTTTTGTGATGGACAAAAGTGTGGCGTTTGGCGGCGGAGACGTGATGTGACGGAATAATGGGTGTCCAGAACCCGTGAAAGGAGATTCGGGTCCCATGCAAACAAAGACAAAGAAGGGCTTCCAATCCTTGGTCGACCCCTTTTTGTTGCTGGTAAAGAGTTTGCTTGACCGCTGGGAAAGACTAGCATAAGAGGCCCAGTCCTTGTGGCCCTTGGCGAGCTTGAAGGTGAACAAGAAATGGTCCAGGCTGGGGGTCACCTTGGCCTCTTGACATTTAATCAAGTAGCCCGCAATGTACCGGTGAGAATTTGGGACTAGTTAGCAGGGCAGGAGATCCACTTTGTTGAGGAACTCCACCAACAAAGGGTGCTAGGGAAACCGTAACCCCTTTTTCAAGGAGGCCAGGTGGACGGTAAAGAACCCTAGAGGAGCATCTAGGGCAGTTTTAGTCTTGCTAGGCCGCCGGACTTCAATAATGGCAGGGCTGACCATATCAGTAGCATCGGCAAACCCTTGGCCAGAGATCTGATCTGACAATGGCACTAGGCCATAATGTTCTCCTCCAACTCGACCCCAGGGCCTGTAACACACGGAGTGGAGAGGGGAATTTATTCCTCAGTCGACGTCGCTTCTGGCTGATTGCGGCCGCCGATGATGGCTAAGGCGGGTTGGATTGGCTCTGATCCTGGCCGGAAGGGGCTGGTTGATCGGCCGGGAGAGAACTATATGACGGGGAAGGAGAATCTGAATCTGAAATGAACATGATGGGGAGTGAAGGATTGAACTGGAGATGAAGGAAACGGGTCGCATTGCAACGAAAGAACAGATTGATGAAGATAGGGATGAAAATAGACGTTCGGCGGTAGTTTTATCAGAACAAAGGGGAAGGCGAAGAAGCAGGTTATGATTGCATTTGAAAGAAATCGTGCCAACCGCCACACAAATACCAAGGAACGTCTTGAATCCGTTGAGGGGACGCCCACGTGGACCTCGATAACTCCCCATCCCTCGACGTGGCCCGCCTGAGGAATGAGGAGTTGGGGGGCTTGTGATGGGCCAATACCCAAAGGGAGGCCCAAAGGCTTGGGCCTGGACCCGTATGTGTGTGCGTCGATCCTGGGCCGACCCAAAGGCTTGGGTACCCATATGTGTGTGCGTCGATCCTAGGACCGCCTAAGGGCTTGGGCCTGGACCGACCCTAATGAGTATAGCTGGGGAAGTTTGAATTGGAGAAGGGGACGCGGCTGAATGCGGGAAAATAAAGTAGCCGAAGGAAGCGGATCGCGCGAATCTCGGATCAGTTTCCATAAATTGTAAGCTACCATAATTACGTAGACTGCATGTATAAATAGGGAGGACCCGAACAGAAACTCTCAAGCTAAACCTAGCCTATAATTCCATAATTCTCAAGTTCTCGTTTCTAGTTAATTCTTTTGATCTACCATTCGAGTCAGATAATTTGGTAGATTTATTGTCCATCACCCGTTTATTCATATTTTTTCCCTAGAAATGTACGAAAAGGGGTGCATCTTTTTTCTTAAAAGAAATTGTATGCAAATCATTACTAGACTAGTAATACTTTATCTTTTTGACAATAGTGGTTTTATTGGTTAACTTTTTTCAAGGAAGTAATAAAGAGATAGTTATATTGCGCATGTAGTTACGTTTTAAGTAATGTTGACCTTTTCAAAATTAATGATAAATGTTTTTTGTGTTTTAAGTCCTTGTTTTATAGACGGTAATACATAAAATAATTAAATCTATTAAACTTTATAAAATGAAAGAGATTCAATTATGAGACCATTAATTGAAATATGTGATAAAGTCAGTATTTCATACGTGAACGGTAGACCGCAATAGCACAACTCTTTAATAATGTGATCATAATTTGTGGTCCAATTTCTATTAAAACATCTGAAATAAGTCCATTAAAAAATTATTATAATTAATTTAGTTACTAAATACTCCCTCCGTTCTTGAGTATTTATTCACTTTTATTTTTTTGGTCAAAATTGGTATTAAATTTTGAGCTCAAATTAAATTTTGAGCTCAAATTAAATAAAAATGATATTAGATATTGATACAAAAATAGTTGTATTAAATTTATTATATCAAAAATTTTCAAAATATTATTTTATCTAATTAATATACAATATTTATTTTATTTAATTATAAGTCAAAAATTAAAAATAGTTGATCGACAAAAATCAAAACTAAACAAATAGTCACAGACGGAGATAGTAGAAAAATTGGGAACCAAATTAAAATACTTTTAGACACATAAAAATATGAAAATGGATAACAAATAGGGAGATAATATAATCTTAAATCTCATTTCCTTTTAAAGAAATTGAGAATTAGTTCACACATCAAAACACACACACACATAAAACTCATTGTCTATCACATAATAACTACACTAAACTTCAAGTAGAGAGGTAAATAAAATGGAAAAGAATGTAAGAGTGATAATCGTTCTTTGCATCATCATCCCCTCGGACGTTTTAGCTGCAAGTTTCGGAATTGCTGCAGCTTTTAAGGTAAATAAATAGAAAGAATATGTACTCATCATATATGTATGCATATACAGTTATGCATCGTATGAACATGCAGATCGAGATAGAGGATATATAGTACATGACCGCATCATTATTATTGTTAATTTCTCTTATAAAACAGTACATACTTGACTACTAGCTCCAAATTAAATGTGTTAATTTCTCTGGGTTTATTATAATTATTAAATCTGCGCGCACTTGCAGCTAGGCCATCTCTCTCATCATGAGCTCTGGACACTGGAAATAATCTTTTTTGTGCTCGGCCGTGTGGCTTTTCTATCAAATGCAGTTTTTTGTGCAGGTTGCCATAAAGAAGACCGAGAGGGGGCCCGAGCTGATGGGCTTTTTTTTTCGTTAGCATGGTGTGTGATTTCTAATTTAACTCGTATTATTATTATTATTCTATTTTTGGATATCAAATTATCCATATATATATATATATATATACACACACACACCATTTGTTTTTTTAGTTTGATATAATTCTTTTTATGGTAGGAATAGAATTTTTTACTTATTACTTATTCCATTATTTTTTTGTATAAAGAGGGTTTGAGTTTTGTATACAGAATCTTTTCTCCAATCATTATTTTATCAATATATGTGTGTGTCTGTGTGTGCAGCTTTTGTGGCATCATAGCAGGACTGCTTATGTTTCTTGCAAGAGACATACCTGGCTCGATCGTTGGAGCTGTATTTGCTATGCTTCAATGCCTTTTCGCTAGCCTTTACTCCTGCAGCGCTCCATACTCGTCAGAATGGTGTTGCAATAGAACAAGTGATTATTGATTATCATATACTCCCTCTGTCCCATAAAATCTTTTCTGTTTGGGAAAAGGCGTACCTTTAATATGCACAATTTTAGTGTTAAAATATTGTACTATGTATGAGTCGCATACTAATTAATCTTCAAAGTGGTATAAGAGTCAATATGCTTTATTCTTCCCTAAATATTGTACCCCTCCCGCCCGGCCTCCCTCCCCAAAGGACGCATCTTCGGGCCTTCATTTGCTTATTCGCGGAAGCCAACTTCCATGGTGGAGACCGACCAACTTCGCCATAGATAGATCCTTTCCCTCTTCTTTCCGTGGAATTGATAATTATACAAAAATCTTCTTTCCCTTATTCCCCGGCCTCTCTTCAGTCTCCTACGGCGGAGCAAAGACAAAAGAAGCTAAAGTTGAAAGTATTTTCCCTAAATAATCAGGATATTTCCCTACAAGGCTCAATGCAAACCACAAAAACCAGTAGAAACAAAGTAACAAACAGTAATGAATAGCAGAAAAATAAATAGAAATCACATGATTTGTGTAGATGCCCTAAAATGGGCGAGGGAGAACAATGAGATCTTTCAGGTTCAACAAGGATCCTGAAACTAACACTAACAAATCACAAAGGAACAAGTGGGCATAATAAGGTGTGTTATAAAACGCACACGGGGCAAACGAATATAGCTCCAAAGTACAAGCAAACAAAGCATTTTTTTTTTTAAATTGAAACTTGTTCAAAGGATTTGTTACTAGGATTTGGGAGGATTATAATAGCACTGGTGTTGATTTTTTTTAAAGAGATGGTATTGCTAAACGAAAGTATTACTTCTTTGATAATAAATCGATGCTAGTTTAGAAAAAATGGGGGTATTTGGTAGAAAATTGGATGTCAGGCCAAGTTCACAAGCTTTCAAATGAAATACTCCCTCTCATCCGTCCCTCTTTATTTGTCCACTTTCAAAGTGGCACAAATACCAAGGAGGGAGGTTGAAAGTTATCAAATGTCTTTAATGCCCTTAAAGTAAAAAAATAAAAAAATAAAAAAAAAAGAAAAACAATGGAGTGGTGCTCGTGCACTAGGCCATCGGATGTCAATCGATATGCGGAAGGGCCTTGACATCCATGAACACCAATCTGGCCGTTAAGCACCGCATCAAGCCTCCGGATCTTCACAAAATTGATCATCGATCATCAATGCCTTAAAGATGATGCCGTCCCCGGCAGCAGTCACCCCCAGGCTCCACCCGTGTTCTAGGGTCGGTAGTACAGTCCCCTGAGGCAGAGTGATCAGATCCGAGGCCGCCAGAAGCTGTTCGATCGGCACAACTTGGAACCCTGGATTGAAGACGGTCAAACCATCATCATCAAAGTTGATCTCTTCATCAAACTCAGTTTCAGGAATTAAGTATTGAAATTCATAAATGGAGAGTGAAGCAGATTCGAGAATCCCGTCTATATCTAAGATTTACTAAACAACGCCGATAAGTGTGGGGGGAGTGTAAATTGGGTGGGGTAGTAAATGAGGTGATAGGAATTAGTGATAAGGGAAAAGTTGGAAATTCATTTAAATTTGTTTACTAAACAGAAAGTGGACAAATATAATGAGACGACCCAAAAAGGAATACTAGACAAATATAGAGGGACGGAGGGAGTATTAGAGCTTATCTCGTTTGCGTAAATTGGACACTTCTATAAAGCCTCTAAAGATGGATAAAGTACGGAAACAAGCGCTAAATTGAGGATTTGGAATATATACTGGAATCAAAAGACATAGAGTGCTTTGTCGATGTGGTCAGACGGAGAGACTGGACTATCACGGTACACTCCTAATCTCTGCTGCTAGAATTGTTGTTCGGATCCCGCATGTCCTTGTAGGACTTCAGACGCTACCAACTCTTCTAAAACTAATTGGTGTTGGAAGAGGCGCATACCTTAGCCTTATACTGCATTCACACACAAGCACCAACGACATTCGGTTGTGACTTGGCCCACATAGCCTCCGCTACGGGACAATTTTACATCTGGAGATGGGTACGATGAGTCTTCTTGAGTATTGTCAGATGTTCGATCATCTTGCTGAGTTCGGCCAGGATTTGGTGAACCCCACCAAACGTTGTTGCGATAAGTTTGTGAAGGGCATGTACCCGAAACTTCAGAAGCAAATGTCTACTGCATCTAGGCAAGACTTTGGTCTTATGTACGAACAGGCCAAAGAAGTGGTTCGGACTAAAGAAGGCGTGAGTCAGAAGAACAACCAACAATCACCTAAGACAGCTATGCATGCAGCTAGCACAAGTAAGACCCTCCCAGGGAAGAGACCCCTAAGCGGATCGAAGCTCCAACTATCGAAAAAGGAAAAGTCCGTGCCTACCCAATCCGAGGCATCTAACTACAGTCGGTTGGCATCGAAATACACTCGCGTTGTGAGAGTTGTTGGGGACATCACCCAGGAGAGTGCTAGAAGACCCTAGGGCTTTGCATGGGCTACAGATAGACCTGATCAAAGTGCGGGTAGGACCGGGTTTCGGGCCGGGCCGAGACACTACTTTACGAGAAATTCCTAGGCCTGAGCCCGGCCTGGCCCGTATAACGGGCCTAACAATTGAAGCCCGAGCCCGGCCCGCATGGTTAGCCCCAGGCTTCGGGCCGGCCCGGCCCAACCGACAAAAACTTCTAAATAATGTAAAAAATAATTTTTTTTTAAAAAAAATAAAGTAACAAGTTAATATATTAGATATTTGATATAAAAACTATTATGAGTAATGAAAGAAAATTTAATATATAAATATACTTTGTTTGATATTGATATTATGTATGGAGTACAAAATATTATCTATTGGAATGTCATAATCAATGTGTGATACATCGCAAACAATACGGAGTAGTAAAGATGTATTCATTTTATTACGGAGTATATAAACTTATAATTTATTTTTTCTCTCCATAGAAGTATGTATGTGTGTTTATAATAATTTGAAATAGGCTTGTTCTTTATTATTATTATTAATGTTGTTATTGTTATTTTATTATAATTATATTAATAATAAATATTTTAATTTATTCGGGCCAGGCCGGCCCGTGGGCTTGAGCATAAACCTGAGCCCGGCCCTAAAATCTTTGGGCCGCCATTAGAAGGCCCAAGCCCGGCCCGTACCCTAAAATGCATGTCAAGCCCAAGCCCGCTATTTTGCGGGCGGGCCAGATACCCGGGCCCGTGATCGGGTCTAGCTACGGACAAGCGGGTCACTTTAGGAGGAACTACCCTACTAATTCTAGTCCAGCTTTTCCTACGTCGCCAGTACCAAGCCACACAAGTTCTTAATCCAGCTCAGAGCTAGCGTACAACTGCAGGATTGCACATACAACGTCATCAGCAACAATGACCGTCGCAAGCTGCGACACGACAACAAGCTAGAGCTCCAGCTAGGACTTACGCCATGCAAGGATGAACCAATCCTAATCCAGACATCAACTATGGTAAGTTTTAATTTGTGTGATAGATATAGTTAGTGTTAAGTATGTGACATGAACGTACTTTCCTATTTGATTACGTGTGTGACTGCGAAATGAGTAAATAACGACATCATACGACATTGGAGAACCCATGAAAACTTCGTACCTTTGTCTTTCCAGCGACAACGATGTGAAGGAATTTCGAGGATGAATTTTTTTTAAGGGGGATGTAACGCCCCGAAAACCGGCTTAGTAGTTAGACGCTATTTTAATAAAAATAAAATATACTATTTATTGACTCTTAAATATGAATTTTTTGTAAAGTTGACCGTTTTATTTAAAAATTAGGTTTTCGGGTAGATCTCGTAAACCGGTGACTAATGGTATATAAATTGTTAAATTTGGACTTACGCATAAAGCGTGACGAGTAAAATAGACGTTACAGTTCAATAAATAAATAAATGTAATGGAATTTCTTCCATGCCTTTGCTAATGAAGGGGCATGGATGCCCCTCTAGTAAATTCTTGTCATGTGGACTTTTTAATCACGTAAATAAATAAAAACTCCACATCATTTTAACTTTTAAAAATTACATAATAACCCCATTTTTTTACTTTTCTTATCTAAGGGTCTTTTCTTTTGAATGAAAATTTATTTTCAACATTTTCAATTCTCTTTAGTTTTTTCAACCACTTCAAGTTTATTTCATTAACAACTTAAAAACTTTATTTATTTTTATTTTTTAATAATATTCATGTTACATTCATTATAATTATAGTTATTACTATTATCATTATCATCATCACAATTATAATTAAAATAAAATAAAGAACTGAAGAAATAACACAATTTTCACATAAAAAATATTTCTTGTCCCAAAAACATATACGTAGTATTAGTTATCATTATAGAGTCAACGTAAAATATTAAAATGTTAAATGAATTAATTTATAATACAAACATTCCTCTATGTACATTGTTCTTTTATTCGAGTTTTAAATGCTTCTAGATGAATTAAAAAATATTAACAAAGATTTAAAATTGCTATTTTGTTATCATTCATTTTCTTTAGTTTGTGAAATACTCCGTATAAACTAAGTTTTTAAAGCCTTTTTCTTGAATTTAATAATTAATTTTTCAACTTTTTATGCTTCTTTGTTTAAATGCATTTTTATTTTTCAAAAATGAAGGGTTTGTTGCATTTTAAAGTACACCATATAAATTAGGTACATATGTATTTATACCGATTCGAGTTGATACGAAACCATATCGAACCAAAATTTATGGATCAAAATCGGTATGACGTAAAATCTCATTCCGAACCGAAATGTTTGGTAGGTTATCGGTACAAGCTAAATACCGTACTATACCGTAACAAACTCACCCCTATCTAATATGACCTTACCATAACTCAATAAAGAATAAGCAAAAGTAGATGCGAGAACTAGCAAGGATATAAATCCACACATGCAATTGCACTATAAACCACAATTAAATATGCCAAAAAGGCCAACAGAACTGCACACACAAAGTCCGAGTTCCGGTTTCAGAGTTGAAAGGACGACCGCAGTGGGTTCCCCTCACATTATTCAAGCGAAACGAATGCCCTACAGCAGGCAGACGCCAACACATCTCAGGTCATTACAGGCTCGCTTCACAACCACATCAAATTTTTTACTGTACAAGGAAAAGGAATGCTTTCCTCATCCTTTGAGAACGCCTAAGTTCTCCAACAGAGCACGAAGTTCGGAGCTGCCACAATTTTCGCCGGTCTGGACAACATTGGGGCTGTCATAAGGGACAACATCCGTGAGCGGGTAGTTCCTATTAGCAAGAAGCAGGCTGCTAGAACTGCTGCAGATTCCCTTCAGTATCACGGCTTTCCTTAGGCCCCCAAGCAATCCCTCATAGTCGGTGTCCCCACTTTCTCCCACAAAGATCACCAGCTTTGAAAGGTCCATACCCCAACGCAGATACAAGTACCTGAGCAAGACAAGATTACCCTTTACTCAAATCACCACATGACTCCTGAATGTGTATATATGTTAAATCAAGGTTTAAAGAAGGTGGGTCATCAGAAATGTCAGGCATAAAAACTTTACCTGAGTGCTTGGGAACGAGAAGCCAGCACTGGAATCACATTGATCCTGCTACCGTTTTGACAATAAACGACGTGACAACGGAGAGCCTGTATCCTCATCAACTTTCTAAGCTCCTTATAAGGGGGAACCTGAGGAGTTGAGAAAAGATCATTATCAATTACTCTGTACTACGGAGTATATAATAGCAGCTAGTAACAAAATACAATCAGATTGTCAAATGGCCGTTCACTTAACAACATCATAATAATAATAAAGAAACAAAGGAAACTGGAGATGGGAGCAACCACTTGGGGTAGAAAATGAGAGCAACCAGTCTAGTTTATTTGTCAAGTGACCCATCAAGAAAGCTTACACGCTACCCCCAGATAATCAGCACACAAATATGAAAAGAAAGGAAGTGGAAAAGAACATGTTAACTTACCCCTTCGGGATTGCAAACTTTAAAGGTATAGCAGTAGTCGGCTGAATTTCTTTCATCTTCAACAACAATATGCTCTTTATTTTTCTTGTTAGCAACAGAAGCCGCCCAGCGAACTAAAGTCTTCCTCAAACCCTCACCACCCCAGCGATATTCAATGTGGGAATGGTAGTACAAGTCAACCACAAAAGGATTATCTTCAGATAGTGACGACGAATAGTAAAGATCGCCGCCACTGTTGCAAATGAAAGCATCGAAATCAGTAGGATTCATCCCCTCTGAAACCAGAAAAGAACGCACTTCTGACATGCTGAACGATGTGGCCAATATGAAACCTATAGACCCTTCCATCCTCTCTGCTTCTGCCGCGGCAAATATATTTTTCACATTTTCAAACAGACCTTTGCTGGCATCACAGTCCACTGCTATAACAAATATCTGCTTCCTTCTCCTCAATGATGGGAACTTAGCAACACTAGAACTCTGGTCTATTTTATCCATTGATGCAGGTTTGGGAGTGCCCTTCACACTCTTGGACCAAGCCAAGACAGCATTCTCTAACTTACTCTTTCGATCATCAGGGTCAAAAAAGGAATCAGTATCATCACTTTTATCACCATCCAGTGAAAACTTTAAATTCAAAGATATATCCTGTATATCTCTCAAAGAATCACTAGGTGACTCTGATTCTGAGTTTTCATCATCATCTGCATTTCTCAGCCAACATGGTTGCCTTGGCTTGCAACCTGCTATTCTAGAGAGATAAGTTTTACAATGCTCTGGCCATGAGAAAAGATGTACATTTTTTAATCCGTTCGCTCTGCACTTAGCCCACAGGTGCTTGTCTGCAACCAGTTTCAAAAGAGCATCAGCAATAGCCTGCTGATCATGGGGATCAACAAGGAGACCATTGTCAAGAACCTGCAGATAAAAATAAACCCCACAATCTGAAAAATCAAATGTGTAGAATATTTATTGAACACTACATTATAGAATTGAGAAGAAATGTTTACCCTATGTATATCAACAGGCCCACCATTTTTGGTGGCAACCATTGGGAGACCATGTGCTGCAGCCTGTCCAACAGAGAAATGAATTTTTTTTTAGAACAGAATCAAATAAATTACCTAGAAATTTCACATTATTAGAACTAAGAAGTACCTCAATCAGAGTCAGTCCAAAAGGCTCAATAACAGCTGGGTTTATGAAAACTCCCTGCCAAAAGCACAAAGGAAACAAGTGTCTAGATAGAAGTATATTGAAATGTGAATACTGGTATGGGTAACATACACAATAAACAACTAACTCTGGAAGCATTTGAACAACTGAATATTAAAGAGCCATAAAATTATGACCACTGGCGTAGTGATTTTGAAATGTATAATCTAAGGACAAACTCCCTATGTCCACAAATTATTTTCCTGTTGCGCATTACGATGTTAGACTGAAATTAATTTCAATTCAGTTTATTTTAAAATAGATGTGGAATAAAAAATAAAAAAAATGGAGTACATATTTAAATACTATATCAAAAGTTCAATGAAAGAAGAGGTAACTTGACTACAATATTTTATCAAATGATCAAC